GGAACTAAATCATTGCATTTCAATATCCGCAGACTTCTAAACATGGTAATCACTATATGATAGTGTATAGTTGTCTTACGTGTATGTCTTGATAAGAATATTTTAAATTTACTGTCCAATACTTATACGGAAGGCGCACACACATATGACAAATAAATATTTATAAATATTTTTTTTTCGTCATTCAACCACACAAAAAAGTAAAATAGTAAAATATTATAATTAATCTTATACCCTATCTTAATAAAACTATTTTATTCTTTAATTTTATCAAGTATTTAGTTTATTAATTAATTTTTTGGTTATTTTTTTGGTTGCATTGCAGTTGACACTTGCTTATTGTAAGTGTCTCAAATTTACTATTTTATTATTTTAGTTTAGGTTTTTTTTCGATAAGGTTTAAAATAATTTTAAAAATATTGTTCTACGCTGACTAGAAAAATCTCAATTTATGCTAATATGTACTTATTTGTATATATATTAAAACATATGTCCACCCTACCCTATTTTTGTTAATAATTCAACTAGAACATAATTAAATATTTTTATATAAATATCAAATTAATTTTTTTTATTGAAAAATATTATTACTTTATTTATTTTATGTAACATGTATAATTTTTCATAAAACACATAGTAGGGTAGACTGGGTACGGTTGTGCCACTTTTTTTATCTACCACGGTTTTATTAATTAACCAGTTAGCTAAGAGAAAAGTAAATTTAATGGCAATTTGAACATTTGTCTATATAAAAATACTGAAATACTATCCTTAAATTAGTCATAAATTCAAATCATATAAGAACAGGGCAAGTGTAACAACCGTTTACAGCCCCAAGCATGAACATTGGTTAAAAAACAATAGCTATAAATAACAAAATGGCTTATAAAGACTTTTATTGTCAAAAATATATACACAACACATTATATTTATTTAAAGCAGGCTTATGAATATATTATAACAAAACGTAATTTTTTAATAGTTAACAATCTTTGTGAAATCTTTTTTTTTCTTGCATTGAATTTTCCATTCACTTTCTCTTTCGAATTTTAGTTAGTTAAGTTATATTTTTCTTTATGCGTTTTCACCCCCAGAAATTGTCACAACCGTACCCAACATACAATTTGGAAACAAATCAACTTTATGATTGATCTTAATTATCTACGCAAAAACTAATTGCTGGTAATTAACTAAAAATGTGGAACTTACAGCAAAATAACGAACAAAGTGATATGTATACAATTATTATAAATACTTAATTTTGACTCTTTAAAAGCAATGCGATCTATAGATCATGTTAATGTAATGGAAACTTGTTCGAACTAACATACTTAATCTTTCTTTGACCCCTATCTCAAAATCAGTGTATATTAGTTGTTATGACAGCTGTCACAATCGAACTCTGGCGCAACCGTACCCAGATTTCTCTATGTATTATACTAGTTCAGAACCTTCATGTTATAGTGCATTAATAAAATTATATTTAAATTATAAAAAATATAAATAAATAAATTGGAAATGTTCATATCATAATTACTCTTCATATTATTTATTGCAGTTTTATAAATATAAATATGTTTATATTTATGTTATTAATACCCAAATTAATCGATTGCGAACCAAGATGAAGGGTTATAGTTTGATTTTTACTTCTCTGTTTTTTTTGCATTAAATTTTAGAACTTTATTTATTTTATAATGTCTAGTTCGAATATAAACTTATTTGTACTTTTCGAAGTTCTTTTGAAAGAGTTTAATTTAGCTAAAAGATTTATTTTTCCTCCTGACGTGTTGAGTCGTGTCATTGTTTTATACGTGAATTACGAACTTCTGCGCTTTGTCATTTGTGTACACGCTCTGAATAGGTTATACTCGTATATTGAACTTTTTTACTTCGTGAAAAGCTATTCATGAATTCGCCGTGTTCGCTTGTAATTTAATATGAGGAATTATAATCATTTATCACTAATATTTCATGATTATAATACGAGAGACAACGGCACGATAATAATTGTACATATATAAAGTGTACAAGAGATACTAAAAATAAACGTTACAAAAGAGCGACAACACTAAAATTTCTAGTTTAAATAAATCTCTAATAGTTTTTTCCATAAACTGCATATAATATGAAAAAAATTATCGATAAAAATTACGACTCAAAATCGTCTTATATTTATAATATGGATTATAACAAAATGGAAATTAATCTTATATTTTTTAATGAATGCATTTAACATGTGATAAGATATGAACTTTAATCATTATACAAAATAAAATGGAGAAAATGATTGACTAATATTTTCGCGTTTAACGACTAAAATATTTACCAATTATGCAAGGTCAACTTGAAATTATTTATTATGTATTTTGTACGAAATGTATTGATCAATAAAATTCCCAGTTAATAAAGTATAAAATTAATTATAATTCCCTAAGTATAAAAACGTGTTTTATTTTTACATTTTTTCTAAAATTTATGTTTTTTTTATCCTATATGCGGAGTTAAATAGGATAGCTACGAGGGCAAAACAGATATAATGTGTCATTTTTAATTTTGAAGGGATTTTACAAAATAAAAGCTACAAAATTCTACCAATGCAAAATTTAAATTTTATTGAAACATTTTTTACAAAGGTAACACTAACATAACATTGATCTGATATTTTCAGAAATATTTATAAGATGAATTGGAATAATAATTATTAATTAAATTTAGTTCTTGAACTAAATTTACATTATTTGCGCCATTTTTTATTGTTTACCAGAGTAAGGTTTAGTTGGTCCTTTTTACAGCATCCCATATTATATAATTAGAAATATATATTATATAAAACATATGTTGAATCTAACTTTAATTTTAAATCTTATATTTTATTAAACTTAACATAAATTTTGGTTTTATGTTTTGTTGAAAAATGATTATGTTTTATTCAGCATATATCGATTATTTTTAATATTATATTACAATTTAAATAAATATTTATGTCGATGCACATAATATTGATATTGCAAGCGTTAATTGACTATGACAACAATTTCAGCGTCCCAATCCCTTTTTTACAAACAGTGAATGATTTAATTTTGTAGAATAATTATATATTTGCCAAAGGCTATTAAATGATGAGTAAACAAATAAATATATAATTACAAATCTACAGCTTCTACATTCTGCAATGGTGTAATGAATAATGTCAATGTGCTACCAATAAAAAAAATTAAATGACTGAATGCCATTCTAAAGTCAATGTGATAAAATAAAACTTACAACCTGAGATGTTTCGCAGAATTGTTTAGTTTTTTCAGCCATTTTTTTATTATTATTATTACTCTTATATCTTAACAGCAATCAGAATCTCACATCCTATGAGCCTTTGGTCTAAAACTTCTTACTTCGAAGTTTTAGATGGCAACCTAATGGTTAATCTATCTTTATAAGATGATTTTATTATTAGAATTTATCTGATAGAGCTGACTTTTTATTTTCAGTCAAAATAAATTTTTATTTTATCAGTTAATGACAAGATTAATAAATTTCTGCAATACGTTTGCAGCATCATATATTACTTTTACTATGCTAACGTTTACTGTTATGATTATCTTTCAATGACCGGGAATCATTGTACAATAATTTATAGTTAGCATCGTTTATGTAATGTTGCCTAATTTGTAGAGAGCAAACATTTGCTTAACTACCATATGAGCAATGTGCAATCAATAAATCATAATTATGAGGTAATTCTGCAACATGCAATAATAATATAAATTAAGGTTTTCTTATATTAAGTAAAATATAAAATAAAATCTGACTAGCATCGGTTAATTAACTTTGATATTAGTTTGAAATGAAATAAAGAAATATATTTCATATATTTTTATTTATTCAATTAAACTATATTTTTATATACGACATCATTTTGCAAGTTTGAATTAGCTTTTTCAATCAAAGCCTTTACTTAGAGTAGGCTAGGGTGGAACATAAAAGTCTATTTTGAGTTTGAGCAATTATATTGTGAAAATTAAACCAATTATATCACAACAAATAATACAAATCAAACAAACAAATATCTAACTATATTCAGTAAAACTCGCAGCTAAATGTGTTTTTTTTGCTGATATTCAAAAATTTGTCATCCCATAGGTGTATTAAAATGGGACGGCTAGGAGGCAAACAGGTCCATTGTCTTATTTTTAATTTTAAGCGGATTTCACGTAATAGTGGATGCATTATTTAACGCAAAATATAAATTTTGTGGATGACACTGTATGAAACCTTGATCTGGTAATTTGTCAGGAATTGGTTTCAGTTGGAATAACTATTATAATTAAGTTATTTCTTGCATAATTGTTTTTTTAACTTCATTTTTTTTATTTGTTATATTTTATTATTTACACGATTGCGAAGTTAAAGGTTTAGTTGGTCCTTTTTATCCCACTCACGTGTAAGCTTTTAGACATAAGAAACTTTTGAATCAAACTTAAATTTAATAACACATTTGTGAATTTGCGAGAAACGAATGATTTGGTTAAGAAACTAAAACCACATTTGCCCTTATAATTAATTTTTTACAGAATTCACTACAACTGGTCTCTATCATTAAAATGTAATATGAATAGACTAATCTTTCAATGCACTGCGTATTTTATTTATCAGAGTTTGAAGGCTTTTTATTCATATTGTCAAAGAGCTATGCATTTGAGAGCAATTCTCTATAAAATTTTTATTAACAAATGAACAAACACAAACGAACAGAAAGATCACAATTCGCCAACTAACACAAAAATAACTCTGACGTTTCTCAGTAACCAACATAAAACATTTGAAAATTTACATTTTTTCATCGGGTCACTAGCCCTGAATTTTGTTCTGAGAAAATAGGCCCTGGTCTATGTAGTTTCATAATTTTCTGCGAAACAAAAGAATACCGAATATTATAATTATAATCACTTAAGTGACACGTAAAAATTATAAAATTAAAGTTTCTTTTATAAAAAATAATCATGAATGACAATACAAAAAGTAAACCAATGGTAAAATGCGAGCTACTGGCACAACAACTTCAAGAAAAGCTTGAAGAACATATTGAAGGAATTAATCTTCGCATAGAAGATATTCAAGTCATGAACGTGTCGCAAGGTGAGCCACTTGTAGAAGCTGACTACAGGGCTATTGAGACTGTTCACATTAACGTAGATAGTCAGCAAGCAGTTCAAAACTATAAAATAGGTCGGTTGCCAAATTTAATTAGAGATTTGATAAGGGAAGTAGCTTCCAATATACCCAATAAGAAAATGACAGTCATGATCGATGTAGCCCAAACAAAAAATAATATTTCAATCCCAAATTTTACGATAATTTACCAAGGAGCTTACGACCCAAAACTTCAAGCACCGCTGCAGTGCATGGTTTGTAACCAATCATTCGAAGAGCGCGAAGATTTCATAACACATAAAAAAATGCATTATGAATACTCCAAATTCAAATGTTTAATATGCCAAAAAACATTCAGCTACCTGAATACTCCCAACCAGCATTATCGGATGCATTCAAATACATATGATTGTAATATTTGTGATAAAAGTTTCTTGAAAATGAGTGAACTCACTGCCCACAGACGAGCTCACAAGGGCGTTTATAAATGTCTTTACTGTCCTGCATCGTTCATTAAATTAGATAATTTCAGAAAACATTGGTACTGCCACACTAGTGAGAAGCCACATAAGTGTGAACTGTGTAGACGTTCGTACCAATGGCGAAGCAGCTATAATCGTCACATAAAGTCTGAATCACATTTGGATAAACTTAAATCAATTGAAACCAGAAATAAAGAAGAAAAATAGTTAATACAGAAAACAGAAGACCAATAGAAAATAGAAAAATAGTATTACCAAACTTAATACAATATGCATACTGTTGTAATCCAGTAGAGAATAAATGCTTTACCTAATTTCAAAAACATAGTCAATCATTAATAATATTAACATAATGCTAATATTTTTAATTATGCTGTAGCAGATATTATTATTATGTATATCGCGGATTTTCAATTTTTTGCCAATTGACTAGTAAAATCATGAATATTTCTTCAAGTAAATGAGTGAGTAAATGATGAATTATAATTTGCGACGAAACCTATTTCCTTCTTCTTTAAAACATACTACATGCGGTTTGTTTAAACAGTTTCTAATTGAATTTTATATGTTAATTGGATTTATTATCTTTTTGAAGGACAGGTTTGTTTTCGCGAAAAAAATCGATTTGCTAATTTTATGTTTTTTCGACGTTTCAACTTATTCTGAATCGAATTAGATCAAATTTGGGAAAGATATTAGTGTGTATGTGAGCCGGTTTTTTACTTATGGTCGACGCTCTCTCAAGAATGGCTATATCTATTTTAAAAATTACCACTCGATGTAACTGGATTAGGACTAGCGTTTGTCTGTTTTGCGCGACGATCTACCAAGCCGTTTCTTTGTTAATAGCAGAAAAGTGGAAAATTCTTCATAAACGTTTGAGCCCACAATCTTAAATTAATTTGAAACATTCATAAACAGTTTGAAAGATGTTAGTGGGAATTAATAAAATGTCTAACAAATTGATGATTATGATGAAACTTTGTATTACGGCAGATATTATAATCTGAAACTATTGATGCATGGCATCAGCCTTAAGACAAATTGCTGTACCGAAACCTAAATTTTTCATATAAGCTTTAACATTTTTTGGAAACTTTGAAAAAAATTGATTTTTGAGAATTTTGAAAATATTTGACATATTTGATTTTTTTTTTATTTTTAACTTCTTTTTAAGCAATCTTTTTTTTTAAGCAAAATCGAAGCGTGTAAGCGCCACGTCGCAGTCTTAGAATAAACATTGATACTGAACCCAAATAAATGTTAAAAATTGTACTCATCATCAAAATTAGTATAAAACATCTTATAATTTGATGTGCATAAGTCTAATGATCATTATTGTCCGCCAAATCGCTATTTTATACGGAATATCACAAACCGAAGATTGTGTCTATAGTCTTATAGAATACATTTTTGATTGAAGCAAGATAATTTAGATTGGACACAAAATAAAACACAATCATAATACATATAATACTATATTCATCACAAGACATGAACGAAAGACAACTCAAATGCATAACTCCAACCGCATATCCGATCTCATGTCGTCGTAAAGTAGTAAAAAGCTAAAATACTTTAGTGCTTTACTACGTGGCACAAGAACATAACACAATCGTTCCCAAACTCATCAAGAAGCACATGTCGTTGCTAAATATAATAATGCGGTTTTTAGTGCCTGTAAAATAACAAAGGCAAATTATATAGATTTTTCGCATAATGATATAATAATTTCCGGAGTTATAATTGCGTTGGTTGCAAGTGTGCGTGGTCGCTTCTGTACATGTTCACTCAACTAATTACTGACTCTGAAATAAAAGTGCACGCTCAAAGATAATATGCAACGCTGCTTCATTTTCAACTAAAAAGTATAACGAATAACGAAAAAAATCGTTTGGAAATAATTCGTATTTTTATGAAAAGTTTTGGGTATAAATGGTATAAGGGGCTTTGTTTTTCAAATAGAGTATTATTGCAAAGTGTACCTTTAATGTGGTATAAGAAGCATGACGTGTTAGTTAGGTTTTAATGTAAATGCAGATTTGTCTTTGATGTGGCATTTTGCATTCATATCATGCACGAGTAATAATACTATGTCTTTCCATATTCACTGCTAATATTTATCTAATTTCATTTTCCGGTAGGTCTTTTGATATAAATTTTGGCTTCTACATCTCAATAGAAATAGAGTGCTATAACCGGTGTTAACATATGAACTTGAATACTGTTTGCTAATTGATAATAAACAAATGTCATTATTCTTCAAAATTTATTAATTTCACTCTCAAGTATAGTTCGTCACACTCTACTTCTATTAACCAGGTAACTTTGGGTGAAGAATTTCCTCGCCATGGAGAAGTGGCAGCATTTTGTATACTGACGAATTTACTTATCATGCGTATAAAACAGTGACCATTTAAATTCTATTTCAATTGAAACAACAAAAACTTAAAAAAATCTGCAATGTCAAGTTGTTGAGAATATTTTCAGGCACTTTTCCTAAGACAAGTTGCATCAACTTTCCAAAATGCCGTAATACGCTATTTAATAAGAATCAAAAATTTGTGATTCAAATAACATTTTATATTGTTTATTTTGAAAATAGTTTTTGCTTTTCATAAAAAATTATTCTTACTTGCATTTATCCACATGTAAAACATTTCATTAAATTAATTAATTTTTGGTATATTGCGTATGTAATATGTGCTTATCGTGACAAAAAATATAGAATATACTCGCCATGGGCTGGATGTGGGCGACATGAAACTGCACTGTTCGGTGTGAGGGACAGAATTAATTAACAGGTAAAATATTAGGTGGCAGTCGGCATAACAGCTAAATTAAACTAATTTTGACATAAGGTTAAAAAGAGAGAAGTATGTAGTATGTTTGTTCAAACAAGTTTCCATTATTGCATTTACTCTACATTAACCTGATTTGCAGACCGTCAAGTAAAGAGTCAAAAGTAAGTTTATTTGTTCAATTTCTTTTAATAATAACTGTTACTTGTATACACATATCACTTTGTTAGTTATTCTGCTGTATTTGAATTGCTGTAAGTTGAACATTAGCAGTTAATTACCAGCAACTAGTTTTTGTGTAGATAATTAAGCTCAGTCGTAACGTTGATTTGTAGGTCTTGTCTTTTCGGGTGAAGAATAAACAGATTGGGAAAAATCTAACTAAACTAAAACGAAATACGAAAGAGAAAGAGAAAGAAAAATTCAATAAAACTACAAGATAAGATTTTATTTTTTAGTTTAAAAAATCATGTTTTGTTATATATTGAAATATTATATTCTTAGACTTTGTTTAAAAGATTATGTTGTGTTTGACAATAGAAGTCGCCATAAACTATTTTGGTGTTTAAACCTATTGTTTTTAATTTATTTTTATTCCGTCGTGGGGGTGACGGTTGTGACACTCGCCCTTTTCTTGTATGATTTGATTAAATGACTAATCTATTGCATTTAAGAACATTATTTCAGTATTTCCTCGTAGACAAATGTTTAAATTACCATTTAATTTACTTTTCTCCCAGCTGACTAGTAAATTAACAAAATTATGGCTGATCAAAAGAAAAGTGGCACAACCGTGTCTAGCCTCCCTATTTAATAGTGAATACTGAAAGAAATTTCACTCTTGTTTAAAGTTATGTTACATACAAACAACTCCACTTGTAAATTTGACGTAAAGTGTTTACCAAAGGACGCAAATCAATGTCTTTTATAGCATTAATATTTTGTATAATATAATATAATTGAATTTATACTGTATTTACATATAATTTAGCTAATTGCTAAATATACCTCATTCCAACTTAAAAGCAGCTTGGACAAAATGGCTATATTTGTGAATAATAATCAATTATTTTACTTGTCCCGCAGTTTGCTTATTTTCTCCTCTTTAGCTGTGCAATTTGAAACAGTTGAGTGAATCTATCAAATTGATAATAATCAGAAATCATGTTTACGAAATCCTTTGTAAAATATGTCGGAGTTGTAGGAGGTAGACGATATTAAATATACTTCGCCCCCGTGCTATACATTACCTTTTTAAGATACTTCACCCTAAGCGATATTTCGAAAATACGATTTATAAAACACACTCATCGCGAGGAAGGGCGGAGAGGGTGGAGGGATGAAGGGATTGATTGCGTGTCGGGCCATTACCCGTTTCGTCGTATATAATCGACAATGCTCCAAGGAAGATTTCGATGTTTGCACCGCGGTAAATCTCGAACTGAAATAAAATGATAGCGCACGTATTATGAAGTTTTTAGCAAACAGCCGCGATGAACGAACGAACGAGCCGTAAAGCTCACGAACTGTACATAACAATATCAAACACACTTCCAGAATGCAATGTAAGCAGCATGTCATGTAAACTTAGAAACCTAAATAACCGGGGGCAACGAAAACTGAGCAAGGAATTCTGATAATTAATCATTTTCCCTGCACACACACCCTGCGTAGACACACATTCGCCTCGAGTGCGCGCCTCCGTACATTTTCACTTGCTAATACATTATGTGAATTTGAACCGAAGCAAGATTATATAATGCGAAGCGATAGCTTCATAATAAATCGCAATCACTATAACATAATTTTGATATTACATACGTAATATATGTGAAACATACCTTTATTGCTTCTATTGAAGTTCAGTTTGAACTCTCACAAGATCATATTATTTCGAAGCCCACTCGTACGGCTCATTTAAATTATAAATAGTGTACTCGATTACTTGCCTGTCAAATTGACAGCGATATAGAAATGGTACAGTATATGGCATTGCTGTAAAAGAAATATTCTTTATATTTCAGTTTTGCATGTCATACAATTTTCAACATAAAAACTAGCGACTAATAAAAGATTTTTAGTTAACACAACAAACATTTTATCAATACGGAGTTGCATTCACCCACATTGGTTCAGTATTCAGTTTTTTCTCCTGATAAAATCTTCTTTTGGATTAACTCGTCACGGCCGATATTTGTAGCAAAGGTACAAATATGAAGTATGTTTGTTTGAAAAAGTATCCATTATTGCATTGAGCCAGCGTCCTATATTAAATTCTTTTAATAATAACTGGTACTTGTATACAGATAAATCACTTAGTTTGTTTTACTGTAACTTGAGCATTTGTAGTTAATTACCAGCAATTAATTTTTGCGTATATAATTTAGCTCAGTCATAACTATGATT